TACAATTTAACTATCATCCTTATTTCCTACTTGTGTAATAAAACGATGTAGTCCCGTACAATTTAACTGTTATCCTTAGTTCCTGCTTCTGTAATAAAACGATGTAGTCCCGTACGATTTAACTGTTATCCTTAGTTCCTGCTTCTGTAATAAAACGATGTAGTCCTGTACAATTTAACTATCATCCTTATTTCTTACTTGTGTAATAAAACAATGTAGTCCTGACATCCTTAAAACCGTTTCTGCCTCTGGGATGACTGCTACAGTCACTTCCTTAAAACCCATTCTGTCTATGGGATGGCTGATACAGTCACATCCTTAAAATTGTTTCTGTCTCTTCTCATACAGTCACAAATGAAAAGGTTGTACACGGACACAACAATGTATCCAGGGTCAGGAAATCTATAACCTGGAGTGTGGTAAAAATTATCATCTAATCAACCTGCTCCTTCACAGAATCATGAGGTCACAAGAAATATTATGCAGGGATTAAGTCTCAGACTGTGAAATTACATCCTTTCTACACTGGAGTATTTGTAGAAAGAAGGGGAGTTATCAAGACAAAATCCAACAAAAATTAAAACTATGAGAAAAGTTCCTAGATCTGTATGAAATCTTGCTAGAATTAGTGACAAAATGTGATCATTAAGAAACAAATTAACTGAGACAGTAGAAAAAAGAAATATAAAATAGACTTAAGTTCAAGAATAAAAAACTAACAACATACGGGTATAGTCAAGTAAAAAAACATGATAAAATTTAATATGCCAAGAGGAAAAGTAAAGAGACAAAGGTAGTTAAGGTAGGTGGCATTGTAGTAACCCAAGGAATATGTACAACACTTTATACAATACCAGCCACCGAGGTCATTAAAGATCTACACCTCTTCAATCAGCAAGGATGATAGTTAAATTGTACGGAACTACATCGTTTTATTACAGAAGCAGGAAATAAGGATGATAGTTAAATTGTACAGGACTACATCGTTTTATTACAGAAGCAGGAACTAAGGATAGCAGTTAAATTGTACAGGACTACATTGTTTTATTACAGAAGCAGGAACTAAGGATAACAGTTAAATTGTACAGGACTACATTGTTTTATTACAGAAGCAGGAACTAAGGATAACAGTTAAATTGTACAGGACTACATTGTTTTATTACAGAAGCAGGAAATAAGGATGATAGTTAAATTGTACAGGACTACATTGTTTTATTACAGAAGCAGGAACTAAGGATAACAGTTAAATTGTAATGACTGCTACAGTCGTTTCTGTCTCTGGGGGTTTTAAGGATGTGACTGTAGCAGTCATCCCAGAGACAGAAAACATCCTTAAAACCGATGACTGCTACAGTCCATAGACTTACCAGAAGAAATGTTTGTTAGATATGGTCAGTGATGCCTGAGATGACAGTAAAAATACTTGTTTCTATTTTGTACCTATGATAATGTACTATTAGCTACATCTTTTGTTAACTTTCTACCATTATGGTTATGTACTATTAGCTACATCTTTTGTTAACTTTCTACCATTATGGTTATGTGCTATTAGTGACAGTACATCTTTTGTTAACTTTCTACCATTATGGTTGTGTGCTATTAGCTATATTACATCTTTTGTTAACTTTGTACCATTATGTTTATGTGCTATTAGCTACATTACATCTTTTTTTTAACTTTGATGAGTATCATTTTAACAAACTATAAGGTTAGTTTCTATTCATGTGCTATTAGCTACATTACATGTTTTTTAACTTTGATGAGTATTATTTTAACAAACTCCACGGGTAGTTTAATTAGATTTAATTTTAATTAGGTTAGGTTTACTTTTCATTTGTCTCATTGAAAGGTGCTGTACCTTTTAATTAGGTTAGGTTTTCTTTTCATTTGTCTTGTTGAAAGGTGCAGTACCTTTTAATTAGGTTAGGTTTACTTTTCATTTGTCTTGTTGAAAGGTGCAGTACCTTTTAATTAGG